AGTGTATGGAAGAGAACTGATGTCAGGAATACTGTTTTCTTTCCCAAAAAATTGGAAAATTATACCTAGTCCCTTGATATTCAGGTGGAAGAAATGTTACCTTGTCATTTGTCCTCCCTTTCCTTCTTTCCCCCCTGAAATTTCCAATTTGGTTTTCAATTGTTACATGAGACAGCACTGAATGTATTTTTAAGTACTGTAGCTTGACAGGAGTCCAGCTTGGATACCAACCCTCAAGTTAAAATAGAGCACTTCAGATGATACATCAATAAAGTTAATTTAAAAATTTATTTTCCAGTGGAAGGTTCGGCGGACTCTAGCATTTTCCATACATGAACTTGCTGTCATCCTTGGAGACCAGCTTACAGCTGGAGATTTAGTTCCTGTCTTCAATGGCTTTTTAAAAGATCTAGATGAAGTCAGGATAGGTGTGCTTAAACACTTGCATGACTTTCTGAAGGTATGTCTGTGTTCAACTCTGGTCAAGTGCAATTGCATATTTTGCTTCATTTCTTTGTGTGCACTTGCTTTTTAACATAATACTGGTGTCACTCGTTGTGGAAAGTTACAGGTGTCTGTTGAATGAGTATATTTTGCAGGAGATCTGTGTTGCTGATACTTTCTTCTCTGTGAAGAGCCTGGTTTCTGCATATTCATTCAATATATAGGTGCTAGTGGATGATATTAAGGGGTTTTTTTGATGGCTCTAAACTCTCTATGTACCTCCTCAAATTTCTTTAGATCAAATTTTGCTTTCAGTAGTGCCCCATGTGATTTTGCAGACTTAAGTATGATGAAGTTTAGCTCAGGAAAGCTACACTATTCCTAATGTCTGTTTTGTTTTAATAAAAGGAAGCATTTTGTTAGTTGTATTTTAAAGCTCTTGTTCTTTCTGCTGGTTGTTTATTTAAGTTTGTTTACTGTTACAGCTTCTTCATCTTGACAAAAGACGAGAGTATCTTTATCAGCTTCAGGAATTCTTAGTGACTGATAACAGCAGGAACTGGCGTTTCCGAGCTGAGCTGGCTGAGTATGTTGTTTTCTGGATGTTTGTTTTTATTGTAATGAATATTATAAAATCACAGAATAGGTGATTTACAGTGACATTCTTAATTTAATTTTTAATTACTGGGTAGTTCTTATCCTCCTTCACATGTCTCCCTTGCTTAAAAATCCACAGTAGTTGTATATCATTTATGTAATAGTTGGAACTTGAATGTCTTTTTCCATCACCATTTGTTGGAAACAGTACTCTTCCATAAAAAAAAGAAACTGCCAAAAAAGAAGACTGTATCTGGTTGGTCTTGAAGTTAATGGAAGTGTTCTGGCAGTTTTACTTCAAGTGGCTGTATTTGATGAGTAGACTGAATTCATGACCATGAAAGAGAAGAGATGAGGGGAGTAAAGTGAGTAGCAGAATAGTGACTTTGGACTTCATCTGTGCAGACTTAGGCTTTTTCATTGGTGGGTTTCTGTAGGAGGCAGCTATGAAGGGTCAAGTTGCTCAGGGAAGCTAGTGGAGGAAGGGACTTAGGAAATTCAACAAGGGACAGATGCCAAGTGGGGAAGGAAGAGTCTCTGACAGTGAGACAGACTGGGGACTAGCTGTCCTGGGGGCAGCTCTGCTGGAAAATCAGACCATCACAGGGGATGGTGATCTGAACAGGAGCAAGCAGTATGTCCTGGCAGCACAGTCCTGGGCACAGTCGATATACTGAGGGAACAGATTAGCCTCCCCCTAGTCAGAACTTGTTAGATCTCATCTGGAGTGATGTACCTATACCAGTACAGGCAAGATGCTGATAAACTGGAACAGATTCACCAGGGGGCCACCAAGTTGATCAAGGCTGCAGCACTTACCTTATGAGGAGACATTGCTATCAGGGCTTCTCTAGCAGGAGTGATGGAAGAACATACAGTATGACTAATTACAATGTATCTTTTGAATTAAATTTTGAGAGACCTACTTTAACAACTGATGATTATGTTTTTGCTACATTTAAGTGTTGTTTTGATTTAGTAACTACAAATCACTTACCTGTGACTGCTGGTAATGAGATGTTCAATCAGCTGCTCCTAACATGTCATGCCACTTCTTTTGACATACATTGTACATGTCATGTACATATGTCATGACATATATCACTGTCTGAATCCTGATGAAGTATTAATCAACTAATTAGAAATTGTAGCTGGTGTTAGGATCCCTGCCTTGTAAATACAACTTTGATTCCCTTGCCTCTCCCCTAGTTTTTCATACTTGGAGCTTGTGCAGCATTTTGCCTTTATTGTGAGTAAGCTGCAATTTAAAATTCCGAAGTGTCCCATAATCAAACTGATGGCATTGAAAACCAGGCCATTTTACTTTTTAGTAACTATATTATGGTCACATTGCATATTTGGCAAGTGTTGTCATATAAATGATCATATTCACAGTTAAAGCTACCTTTCTTCTTATTTTAATATACCCTGTTCGGTTCTTGTAGGCAATTGATCTTGCTTCTAGATCTGTACAGTGCCAGAGACATCTATGACTACTTGCGACCTATCGCTTTCAGCCTCTGTGCAGACAAGGTGTCTTCTGTCCGCTGGATTTCTTACAAGCTGGTAAAGCAGTCTTCACTAAATTTCAAATTTCAAACTTCCAAGAGTTCGTGGTCAGAAGTAATTTTTGTACTTTTTTTTTTTTTTTCTCATTTCTTCAAGGTTAGTGAAATGGTAAAAAAGCTGTATATGGCTTCAACATCAACTTTTGTGGTAGACCTCATGAATGAACTTGTTGAAAAGTTCTGTAAATGTCCCAAATGGTCTGGTCGGCAAACTTTTGTATTTATTTGCCAGGTAAAATATTTTCTTTTACATCATCTTGGTTTTGGGAGGTTGGTGGAATGAAGAGGGGATGAGCAGCTGGAACTCTTTCGCTGTCTATTGACACTATTTTAGTGAATATTTGAGAATGTTGTTTCCAAGGGAGTAGGTTTCATGGCTGTTTTCTTCAGTGTTGCTCCGTAGATGAACCTGAATGCATCTTTAGCTTAGCTTATTAACATCAGGTTGTCAAACTGGATGTTGAATATCAAACAGATGCGTAGTTAAATAGTCCCTAAGCTGGGAAGCTGCTCGGTTACTTAGCACGATGTCAGATTTTTGTACTATGCTGCAGCAGTCTCCCAGTTGGTGTGGTGAGCCTGTAGAAACCAGGTGCTAGGAGTTGCCTATACCTCCTCAGCCAGCTAGTGCAGCTTGATCAAAACCAATGTATTTGCAACAAAGTAAGCAGAAGAGTTGCAACTATCTGAGGTGCCAAGAAAATAGTCACATTTGGAGCCTGCAGCAGAGGTGCACACTGGGAGCCAACATGACAGCTGCCCAAGGGAGACAGTTCTTTGCAGTATTTGGAGAAATGTGAGCTTTAAGCTTATATAGAGAAACATGTTTGGGTACAGCTGATGTTTATTGAATTGGACCATTCTCATCTTAATATAGTAGTACCTAGTTAAAAAAAAAGACTAAATAAATCTTTAAAAGGTTTGGGAATGTCTTTTACTTTTCTTTGTTTTCAAGTGATACAGTGATTAATGAAAACAAGGAAGTTGCCAGACTTTGTATTAATAAAGTGGGCTTCTAACTGAGCCTGAATTTCCTCAACCCTAACTTGCTTGATTGTTTATGACTTTGTGCTAGAATGCATTGTACCTTATTTTAAAGCTTTGTGGATACTACCTGCTGGATTTGTACTATGACGGTTATGACGGTAATAAGATCTGTTAGCTCTGATTATGTGTTGGGCATCTGTCCTCACTGTGCTGAAATCTAATGAAACTACTTCTGTCTTCTTGCCAGACTATCAGTGAAGATGACTGCCTGCCCATGGACCAGTTTGCTGTGCATCTGTTGCCACACTTATTACATTTGGCATCTGACAGGGTTCCAAATGTTCGAGTCCTGCTTGCAAAAACGTTAAAGCAAACTCTTTTAGAGAAAGGTTAGTGGTCAGAAAGCATTCCAATGGGCTGACTGCATATTTCTCTGTCCCTCCACTTTCCTATAGTCAGCTAGGAAAGAAGGAATTACTTCAGATGAGGGTTGCTCTGGCTTTTACATTCTCCTTGGTGTGGAATGTTACCTTAGCTGACATAAAACCAGGAACCTTGTTGTAGTATCAGAGCCACTGTTGGGTAATGGGGAAAAAAGAGTTCTTGCTTATATGCCATCCTGTTATTTTGGTACCATTTTCCCTGAATGAGCTAGTTTCTAGCAGTATCATCCGGTCTTGAATGAAGAGCTAGCAACTGTGAGGTTGTCGAGCAGTGCCTTTTATTTGGTTTAAAAAAAAACCCAGAACTGTTCATCTTCGGTGTAATAAGGATAAAAATGAAAAATCCCTCCATACAAATCCACCATCTGTTTTCTCACTGGGGAAGAAGAGACGGCTGCTGTTTTGTTTTTTATGGTAACAGTGGGAAGAAAGTTTCTCTGGAGTCACTTCAGGGAAATTAGACATGCAACTTTCATATTGCAGACTTTGCTTAGGAAAGCATCCCCAATGCATAGCAGAGTCAGCAGTGCTGAGATTCCGAAGCCCTGTAAAGGAAAATAGCATTAGAAATATGATATTTTATAAACAAGCAGAGTGTCCACAGTTGAAATACGTCATCAAGTTCTGGTCAGCATCTTCCTCAAAACCCTACGCTGTCTGCTGTTGCTGGCATAGAAAGAGTGAAGAAAACACTAGACAATACGAAGGATGCCAACACAGTGAGAACTAGGCTGTTTCTAGCTGCCTTGCACTGCTGGAGATACTGACGAAGCACGTGTGGGCAGTTAAGATGGATCGATTAGCTGATATGCAGTAATTTATCCTCTGTTAACTGTGGCAGGGGCTGTAACTGTTCTTCCTGTTAACGTATAGGTATTGGTATTCATTTTTTTGTTGTCCTTGTTATTTTTATGTTCCCTGCCAGGATGGTAAACCTCCATTCTGCTTTGTCACTATGTAAGCTCATAATACAGGTAGTCTTCACCTCAAAGATGCATATATGATATATACAGGTAGTCTTCACCTCAAAGATGCATATGTGATTAGGGATGGTGGATAGATTAGGAAAGGCAGATTTAAAAAATACTTTCAGATGTTTTAAACCTCAGATCTAAATTGCCTTCCTCTGAGCTGTCTGTAGACTGTTTCTATGCAACTTGTGTAGTTCATGAAGACTGTTGGAATAGTTCTGATGGATTCTGGAACTTCTTCCACTCTTATTTGATGTTATCTTTTATTGTTTGATAATTAATTGGTAAGCCTGCCAGTGAAATGGAGTGCCATGGCCATCCCTCCATCACAAATATAAGACACCCTGGAGTCTCATGCAGCTTTTTAGTTCCTCTTTGGTCATGGAGTGTGTCGTGATGACGTTAGTGCTGAAGGCACATATCAGTTCTCTGCTCTTGCCAGAACTGTTGGAGAAACTATGCTCTGGAACATGGAATTTTTTTATTAATTTTTTTAAAATGTGAATTCATAAGTATATTCAGAACTGTATTGTGTGCCTGCTCAGATATTCCAGTTTGACTACACGTGTGCACTGTCTCATGAGAGTCTTGAACCTTCTGATAGTATGCTGAGGTTTGCATTGGAGTATCTGCCATATTTTCCTCAAATAAGTCTTGTGCATTTTTGTCTTTACAGAATATTTTCTGAATTCTGCCAACTCTCATCAAGAAGCTGTGGAACAGACTATTATGGCTCTTCAAATGGATGATGACAATGATGTCAAATACTTTGCAAGCATACACCCTGCCAGCACCAGAATTGCAGATGATGCCATGAGCACTGCTTCATCAACTTACTAAGAAGTTCTGAATGTTGCTATAATTAAAAACAAAAAAAAAAAAATTAAACTATCCTCAAATGCTTCTAAAATGGTTGATTTAGGACAGCCTCTTTGGAAGGAGAGATTTCTTGCCAGATTTAATAGGTGGATATTATCTAAACCAGGGATTTTAAGTCAAGAAAAAGTAAACATACCTGTGTCAGCTTAACCGTAGAAAAACATTGCTCAGAGGATTATTTTTGCCACCGAAGCCTTAAATCTTCTGTCTTCCTGAACAAATGAAACTTGAATTGGCAGATCATTTTCATGGTAAAAAGGATGTGATTTCCAGAGACCTGCATTGTTTCTCCTGAGGAGTTAACTTAGCAAGTATTTTCTGTAGCAACTGGTAGATGAAATGGCCAGAAAGGCACATTTATACCGGGATGTAAGACCTCCAGTATTAGCGCTAAAAGTTTTTATCATTCAAGGACTTAATCTGTGTGCAGCTGGGCACACCCTTAAGTGGGAATAGCTTTCATGTTTGTAAATGGGGAAGAGTAGAAATTTGGATTTCTCTTAAGGGCTCAGTGCTAACACTAAACTAGAATTTGATTTTAATCCTTAAATGCAGCATATTGCTGTACTCATTAGTAGAAAACTTTGCTGAGTACCTGTGTCCTAATTATTTTCATGCTGGTCATGACCTAAAGGAAATTTATTAGCACATGTACTTTAAGTCAGGTATTTTTAACTTGATCATGATCAGCTCAGAGGTGCAACTTTTTTCTTCATATACTGTACATATCTGTGAGCCTCCTTGGAGTGCTGCAGTCTTTAATCATGTTGTTTAAAGCTGTTGTGATACAAGTTGTTCTCTACTTGTCCAAATAAAATTTATTAATAAGATTGAAAACAATCTTGTGACCTTTTAAGACATTAAATGAATAAGTTTGAAATTTAAGTGGCGCTTTTTTTTTCTGGTTCTATACACTTGACAGCTATTGCAGGTGGAAGGAGTTTGTTTCATGATTGTGACGAATTTTGCATTTTGAGATGTACTTTGGCTGTGTAATTGAGGTTTTGCTAGATTCTCTTTCAAGCATCCCTGTTGTGCTTGGGAACCTGTCACTCTGGTGTGAAATGGTATCTTTGCTGAAGAGAGTCTGAATATCCACCTTGGTCCAGCTTTACAGGAAACTGTGAGCTCAGACTGCCCTTTATCTACCTTCAGTCCATTAGCTGCTTTCATGTCCTCTCATTTAAAATGGCTGATACATTATCTTCTGTGTCTTCCAGGGGCAACTTGCTTAAATCACCTATTCTCCAGCCTGCTGCACCTGAAGTATGTGAAGCTTATTTTCCTGACTAGGAAGAAGTGGCTATAGCAGCTTATCTTTGATGTATTTTAGCAGAACATTTTCAGTTATCAGTCAGGCACCTGGTACCCTGGAAGTTCAGCCTCAGGCAGGTGCCTTTTTTGCTCCATTTTCTTGGGAAAACTGATTTTTCTGCACTTTTTTCTCTAGTAATTAGAAAGTTGCTGTTTACTTCCCAAAGGCCTGCTTTTCTACTCCTGAGCATGGCCTTGTAGAGGTGATTAAGATACAGAGCCATCTCTGCCTTGAAGCTTGGTGGTTTGGGGTTTTGGTGGGGCTTTTTGGGTTTTTTTGCTTGTTTGCTGAGGGTTATTTGGTTGGTTGTTTTTTATTATTCTGGGGGAGATGTTTTGGTTTTGGGGTTTTTTAAAAAGATTTTTCCTTTTCCCTTTCCAAAATCAGTTCAAAATTGGAGAAGGCAATTATATGCCCAGGGCAGAAGTTCCTGTTGTATAAATAATATTCTCATGAAGTTTTTTGTTCCTCATATTCTCTGATAATTGTTCAGAAATCACATGCAAGTTCTTAGAGGACTAGGCAGTGTAACAGCATTGTGTCTGGGTGACAGCAGCTTGTCAGAAAGCAGTGAGCTTTTCAAGCAGAATTTGAGTTTTCTCCCAGGCCATATGATTCCTGTTGTATAAATACACATTGAAGTCCAGTCAATTTCTGCATTTTGTTCAGGGTACATAAATCATTTTGGTTTTAGCCTTAGTGTAATGACAGTTGTGTTTTAGTTGGGTCAAGTGTGTGACCCCTGAGGTGGATGGGATCAGCTTTTTTTCAGATCAGAGGAAGCTTCAGATCATGTTCCAGCTGTGAATGGAGTGCAGTATTCACTGGAGGAGTACTGGGACTTAAATCCTAGTGTTTGGAGTCCTGAATGAATGTCCCAACACAATTCCTTCCTGTACTAATGTACTGTTCCATTAGGCCAGTAAAATGAAGCATTATCTCTTATCCCTTTAGGTATTTTCTATTAGTTAAAGGTAAGACACCTGTAAGTTGAAAAATGAGACAGATCTTCTGGTTGCTTTATTTTTTTCTGCTCTGTATTTCTTCAATAGTGGGGTACAGGCCTGTGAATTTGAGGGAGAGTTTGAAGCTTTTCCAAAGCAAGACTGAGTGTTTAAAGTTGCAGAGGGCTGAAATTCCCCGGCATGTAACAAATAAAGATCATCTTCAGGGAAGAGGACCCTTTCCTTTTTTTTTTCTTCTCCTGACACATCGTGGATCTGCCAGTCTCTTTTCTGCTTCATTTGGCGATTCCCAAGAAGTGAAAGGGAAGGAAAGACTTACTTTATTCTTAGCATTGCCCAAGAGCATCTGCAGCCTAAGGGATGTGGTCTCTTGCTTAACGCTGATGGAGATTTTTCTCATGCCAGCAATGCTAGCGGTGTCAGTAATTCAAGCTTCAACTTGTCTCTAAGGATACGGGGTTTGGTGAAATGTGCATCTCAGTTCTGAGTGGTGAAAAAAGGAGCTACTTTTTCTGTGGGGCAGTGTCTGGGAACACTGCCAAAGATCCTGGTGAATTCCCTTGTGTGTGTCTTCTCTGAAGAAAGACTCCAGTTTTATATCTCAATTAATTTATCTTTTGGTCAGGATTTCTTGAGCAGAAAGTGAGGTGGCTCCTGAATCATCATCTGTTGATCCATGGTTTCCTAAGAGCAGTATCAGCTCTACCCCTGCCTTTTTGGTAGAATACCAAATCAGTCCTTCATGAGCAATTTTTGATGTTTTCCATTTAATCTCTTGGCTTCCTCATCTTAGAACTCCTTCATGGGAAATCCCTTTTTTCCCATGTCCTGGTTACAGCACTGCCTGCCTTTCTGGTGCTGTTCTTCACAGCGGTTTCTCTGTCTTTGGTTGTTCCTCCCCAGAGACCTGTCAGGATTTGATAGGGCTGTTTCCTCACCACACTTTCATGCAGATTTCATGCCAATAAAACTGTCGTATGTCTGGAAACCTCTAGAGGTTGGTTTGTTTTTAAGCAAGACGTGATTAAGGCTTAGAATTCAGTTTGCTTTTTGAAATGTTACAGATAGGTGTTGCACAAATTCCTGGCCCTGTGGACAAGACCCTGTATCTATTAGGCCTGCAGAACAGCAGGCTAAATTCAGCCCAGCTGAAATGAATGTTTGCATGGGCTTGGCAGCCCTGCTGTGCAGGCTTAGGTCTGGCCATGATGGCTTTCATGTTGGGTCAATGGATGGTGCCTCCTCTGTTGTTATGTACTTGTTAGTGCTCGCCCCCTTTTCTCTGCCCTGCCAGAGACTGGGGTTCCGAGATGGCTGATTGGAATTGGTAGCGGATGGGCAGAGAGGGGAGAAGGGTGAAGTCTGTCTGTGGCTCTGGCATGCTCTTGTGCTTTGGCTGGGTTCCTTCCCATTGACAAGGTCTCCTTTTGTTCCCTTGTTCTTTGGTGTGGAATCTTGGGCACAGAGCTCATGTTTTCTGACCTGATTTCAGCCTGGGGACGTCTCTGTCTTGTTAGGATGGGAAGAGGAGTCTGAAACAGGCAGATAGACCATTATTCCACTTCTTCTTTCATGTCTGTTCTTCTGATACTGATGGGAAGGGCTCATCTTCCTATCTGTGCTGACATTCAGACAGCATCGAAAGTACATTTAAAGTAATTAATCTTTATATGTAGTTAGAACATACTAATAAACTGCTTTAAAAATGTAAGACTATGACAGGAAACATTTAAAATATCCATGATCTTTACCTCGCAGCTGCACCCTCCTACATCCCTGGTGCTTTCCAACTCTGTCTTTTAGTTTTACTTAACTTTTACTTTACTTTTTACTTACATCAGAAAAATAAAGAGCCCAAGGCAATGGGATTGGTTTTGGTATCAGTTGCTATAGAGTATGGACTACATCTAGCAGATTTAAAATTCACTGTGACTTAGCAACAATTAAACAGATGTTTAAACTTCTTACAGCCCTCTGGTCATGGTCTGCTCAAAATCTGCAGAGGTGTAGCAGTGTTTCTGTATGGGAAGTGTTGTAAAAGGATCACCTGCAGGTGGTTTTGAATCCTAACTGTAAAAAGCGAAGGTACTGAGCACACTGCATGTTTTTTTAACAAGAATGCTGAAGAGTAGAGAGTCACTGTTGGAACATGAAAATAAATTTCAGTTATTTTTTAGCCAGTCCTGGTGTCCTGTGTGAGAACACATATCAACTTGTTTGAGTAAAGTGGCAGCAACAAAAGCTCAAATGGGGGCTGGGCCATTTCTCTTACTGGTCCTTTATTTCACAGTTGTTTCTTCTGGTCTCTTGGTTGAGGGGTTTTGTGTTTTGTTTTTCTTTTTTTTTTCCCATCCCCTTCTGGATTTTTGTGCCTGGCAATGTTGTTTCCTCAAAGCAGCACTGCCAGCAGAGATGTTCTATCCCTGTCTGCCTCAAGGCCCTGCACCATGATGAAGCAGGCAGTGGCTCACAGGACTGGGGTGAAGTTCTGTGTGAGGGAGGGTGCAGCAACAGGCGCTGATCAGGAATCCAGGCAGATGTCTTCCTTGTGGGCAAATGGTGTTCTTTGATGCAGAAATCTCAGGTGCAGTATCCCCATCTGTCAAATCAAAATGCTTAAGCTGTTGACATCCCCAGTCATCTGCTAAGCAAGGCTGTGCTGCCAGCTCCCTTCCCCCTCTGGAGGAGAGCGTTAGGCTGTGGGCAAGGGGTCAGTGCTGTGGTTCCTCTCCTGAACTGGGGAGCCCAGCAGACAAGAGAGGTTTGGGAAGGGAAAGGTCCATGCTGACAAGTCCCAGTTTGCAGGGGGTTGGTTTCCCTCCAGTGGCCTCACTGCATTCCTCTGGAGGATGCAGCAGCCCTGATGGGGACATGTGGAAGAGCATCTAAGAGTATCTAGGGAGGAGTCAGCTGACAAGTCAAAAGCATAGAATCACAGAAGGGTTTGTGTTGGAAGGGACCTCAAAGATCATCTAGTTCCAAACCCCCTGCCACTAGACCAGATGGCTTGAGGAACAGCATTAGAAGTTTTAGGATGCGTCAACCTTTTATCTTGGCCTTTTTCCTGATGTTTGCCCTCCTCCATTCCCCACAGGACTCCCTCTCAGATAGAGTTAGCAGAGCTTGCAGCAAAGGCTGTGAGCTGCTGTTAGGGCTCTCCTTCAGTGGGAGGGTAGGGCCAGGGCAGGTCTTGGTGCATGCAAGGGCTGCTCTCACTGCCCTGAGCCATCACTGTACTGTGAATGCTGGTGTTTTGCAGTTCAGATGGGGATTAATGGTGCACCATTTTCAGTGAAGGTAAGTCATTGGTATTTTGTCCAAGGGGTCTGACACAGAGGTTCAGCTGCTGCACTCAGCACATACAAGGTGTGCATTGTTGAAAAGGGTCTTATTTTGTCCATTTTGCTTTAAGTAACAGGTGATTCAAGATACACATGGACTTCACAAAGGTGGCTGCTGTGCAGGGGTTGCTGGTACCGTGGGTGGCCATATGCTCAGATTGCACTGTAGGGCCCTGGGGGCTGATAAGGCAGTTTATAAACTGATACACTAATATTATTGCATTGTGATTCCTCTCCCCTTTGAGATTAGTTTTGGCTTTTCATTTGCAACTGGCTAATTATTTGCAGCTGCTGCAGGCAGGCTTTGAAATCACTACTGCTAGTGTGGTTTCTTTCCACCACAAGCACTTCAAGTGCTGCTGTTGGGGTGACATGGCTGCTACTGGACTTGGGGGGCTGCCAGACCCTTTTGTGGTTGTTGGGCCAGGAGAAGCTGCTGCCTCTGGGCAGTGGCAGGGCAAGAAGCTGAGGCCTCTCCAGCTGCTCTTGCAAGGGATTTTTTTTGCCCAAGGCTGAGGTGGTGGCTGCCTGAGCTGCCTGCCCCTGGGGCCTCCATGGGGGTGTCAGGCCTCAGTGCACTCCATGTTTGTTTGATTTGGCCAGCATTGACTCAGACTCATGATTCTAACTGCAGGAGTTGTATCAGTAACTGTGGTTATTATTGGACGTATAATTTGAAAGAACATGAAGGAAAATTTCAAAGAAATAGCTTTCAGGTGTTTTGAAACTAAGTTTTTGGTTACAGTTGTGTTACTGCAGGAGCAGCAATTCCACTGCCATTTCAGACTTCAGTGACAACACACTTGAAGTGTGCTGCAGCAGAAAGAACAGTGCTTGTGTGTTGGATGTAATGATATGAATAAAGAGGATGGGTTTTACCTTCGCAGCTGAGATAGCTGGTAGTGATAGAAACAAAGTTTTAACTTAGAATCATAGAATGGTCAAGGTTGGAAGGGACCTTGAAGGTCATCGGATTCCAACCTCCCTGCTATGAGCAGGGACAGCTCACTCTAGACCAGGCTGTATGAAGCCTCCTCCAGCCTGGCCTTGAACACCTCCAGGGACTGGGCTTCCACAACCTCCCTGGGCAACCTATTCCAGTGCCTCACTACCCTCATGGTGAAGAATTTCTTCCTGATGTCTAACCTAAATCTCCCCTCTTTCCGTTTAAAGCCATTACCCCTCGTCCTACATGTTTCATTTGGTTACATTAAGCTCTTTAGAGAGCCTGCATTCATTCTTCATATACACTTCTCACCTGCAGGTGGCTACCAAAGATGATCTACATTATGACGTAAATAAATTAGAAACTATTTTCAAATGGCTGTTGAATTTATTTGCTTGATAAATACAATCCTAACAAAATAAAAGTTAACTGATATTAAGAGATTTGTCTGAAGAACATTAGAAAAATCCACAACAATTCAATAGGAATTAGTGTGAATTAAACAAACAAAAAAGGTTTAAATATTGCCAGCAAATATAAAATGTATGTAACGAAGGCAAGGGAGAATGCTTTAGTTTACATTTGTCATCTGACCACATTTTCTGTTTATAAACTTTTTTCCAAATTTTAAAAAAATACTATGCTGTTTTCTATAACATATCAAAGCATTATTTGTACAAAATCAAATAATGGCCAATGATTCACAACAGTGCAATCGATAAAGAACACAACCACGTCCAACAGGTGCTGAAAATAAATATCCAGATTAAAAAATAAGCTAGGCTATCTGCACACTGTGGAGTTTGCTGTCAATAAAGGAACTGATGGATGAGGCTTGTGAGTGTATCTGCCTGAAACATTAAGTGGCCCTGAAGTGCCAGGGTGGCTGGAGGCTTCTGAGGGGTAGAAGCAGTAAAACAGCTAAACCAAAAGCAAGTCCCAGGTGGCGGGTGTTTTGTTGGTTTGGGTTGTTTTTTTTTAAAAAAACGAGGCTATTGCTGAACCCCCAGTGCCTCCCCCTGCCATCTTTCTTCACTCTACTTGGAAAGCACGTGTGACTTGCATTTCTGCAGAGGGGAAATCTGATATTGCTTGGTCAGGCAGATGTGTCTTAAGTGATATAACCCATCCCCATCCCTGCCTAAAGCATTCATCAGTGGCTTTCTCCAAGGGACTGGAACATTTGAAATGGCTGAAGAAAAAGCTCTTGGCTATATGGCAGCAGTGTGAACACAGCCTGTCTTAAACAGGTATGATGAAGGTGAGCTACAAATGAGCAAGTGGGTTACCTACATCACTAAAGGACATGAACAGCTCTTGATGAAGATTTTCATCATACAGGGACATAAATAACATCTCATGTTTTTACATTTATTCAGTACATCTTAGAACAAAAATGAAGCTTAAGGGCATGTTAGGTCAACATGATACCTGGCAGTCTCCCAACTTCTCAGCCAACCCAGAGTAAATTTAAAGCTCCCTTGTATATAATCTGCATCAGAAAGGTATCAAAGGCACAAGCAAGAAGTGGCAAGGTTCAAGGTTAATAAGCAGAAATAATGGTGAATGAGGATGAACAGATTCACAAGGCAAATCATTAGTAAGTGTGGGTGGGTTTCTTTTTTATTTACTGAAAATGAGACCTTCCGATTCTGCTCCAATGGATGTAAATAATGATTTTGGTCTAAAATAAAACTGTTATTGAATTATTTTAAATCACCTGAAGGAAACCAGTCTTGAAATAATCTGATACTAACTGGAAAACTCTTCTGGCCTCTCCAAACTCACCTGAGTCTGATGAGCAGAAGCCACAAGTATTAGAGACAAAAGTCTCCAGGGCTTAAAATAAAAGTTTCTTTACAGAATGTACACAGCCAGCAATAATTTGTGCAGTTTGACTCAAATTACAGTAATTTGCACAGTTCAGTTGTTTTTATGCATATCCAAGGAGCCAGATCAAATCGGAGTTTCTTTCCTATCTTTACTTGGCGATGGCTTGACTTGCTGCTCCTTGCTTGCTTTTGGCTGCTCTTTGGCTGCTTTTGTCTCCAGGACACTGTCTCTTTGCTGCTGAGAAACATTCCCGCGTTTTTCTGGCTCCTCTTCTTCCTGCACCTGCTGCTCCGACTTCGCCCGCTGCAGCAGCCGGAGCTGCACTCGCAGCTCTATGATGGCCTCTCGCTCCTCGTGAATCGCTTGGTTCAGGTGATTGTTCTTTATCTTTTAAGGAAGGAAAAAAAACGTCAGGGCTCCTTCTGGCAAAGCAGCACTGCAGTGAGCGGGGCAGTCAGCACTGCAGAGTCAGGCTGTGCTGGTAACCCAGGCACAACAGTTATGTCAAACAGCACGTGGGTTTCATGCCTGGGCAAAAACTGATGCAAACCTGCCCCTTTGCACATGTGCAAACATCTCTGCACAGACTAAATCAAGTCACCACCAAGGAGCAAAATACCAACTAATATTAGGACTGAAATCTTACCTCCAGTTCCTCATTCTGCCTCTGCAAATCTTCCAGGATGACCTGCAGTTCCTCCTCATCTTCACTCTCACTTTCACTCTCAGAAGAGTATTCCTCAGTTTCACTTCGGCCATGCTGCTGGCGACTGAAAGAGCAAGGACAAATCAGATTTAAACACCCCAGTCTGCTACAGCTGGAGCAACATAAACAAGTTACTTAAATCCACTGAGCAATCTGAAACTGTTTTAAGAACAAAATCAGTAATTTCCTTTCAAAGTTGAATTAAACAAACATATCCTTCCTAGGGGGATTTTTTAGCACACCGGGTCCTTTAGGCCATAATTCCATTGTCATACAAACAGAAAACATCCTGAAAGGCCCAAAGCTGCTGACATTTCAATAAAAAGAGGCAGCTTTCAAATGTGAACTTTTAAGTGTAGTTTACAGTATTCTTTCAGAAGAGCATGTATGTACTGTGAATCAGGGAGGGCTTGCCTGCCAGGGGCTGTGGTGTGGGCAGTGTCCCTTTTACCTTTGTATTTCAGCTATTTCTGCTCGGAGCCGATCTATTTCTTCCTTCTCCGAGGCAATCTGTCTCCTCAGAAACTGCTCCATGGCCAGCAGTTCTTCTTGTTCTGTTAAAATCTCGTTCTCCTGCAATGATCAGTTAGTTCACTCGAAGCCCTGACTTCATTTTTTACAGGAACATACGATAAATAGGAGATGATGCTGTTCTCTGAAATACATTCATCCAAGTGGTGAGGATGCCTGCTTTGAACTGCGATTCATCAAAGACCTCAAAGCAAATGTAGTTCAAAACCAGCAATGTCTGCTTGGAATCCTCAATACGATCGCTGTACTGAATAACTGTGGGAATGACACACCAAATTCTGGCATGTTTGGCTGACTATTCCCTTAAATCACAGGGGAAAGATCTGGCTAACCAGTAAAATAAGGCCAAAACCAGAATTATAAAATATGTCTTTGAAGATTAATATAAGGAGGAAACTGCAGTGGAGAGAAGATCAAAGCTACTGAGGGAAGCAAAAGAAAGGAAAAAAGCCAAAATAGTTGCCTTACTTCCTTTGATCAGCAATAAAACAGTTAATGGTATTAAAAACTGATGATAGATTTAGAAGTGCTTTCTAAGTAACCAGAAAGGCTATCTTTATTTTGCTGCCCAGTGTCTCCTTTCTGCTGTGAACAAGGGTTACTCAGCTTTGGGTTCACTCTTGCAGTCAGCATTCCTTCCCTGTTTTATTTGCCATTTAAAAAAAGTCTTGGATTTTAATAGAGACCCCTTTAAGCCTTCAATTTCCCATTGCATTGGAAGCAACAAAAGAGCGTTTAGTATTTCTGAAAGATATGGAACAAGAAAATATCAGCAGACAAACAGGTAAGTGCTCTACCTGAGCAAGCAGAATATTTATAACTTCTTCGTTCTCATTCATTTCTTCTTTGGAGACATCCTCCTTTGAAAGGCTAGCAATTTCTTGTGCAATTTTTGTTTCACACTCCTGCCAGAGAAAGAGAACAACTTTTAAAAGTAAAGCTTGCCCAGTCACTGTATTTACTGTAAAAGAGATTTTTTTAAACCTATGATTTTCAAAATCTAGAATAATCTTTTCAGCAAGAAAATGTCATGTGAGACACATGAGTTTAAATTAAAAAAAAAAAAAAAGAAGAAAAAAAGAAAAAAGCTTCTGAAGTTTGTTAACCTTGAGTCTTCCAGTAATTCCTTCTAGTACTCCAGGACACACTGTTTTAAGCATAGAATGAGTTACAGGCTCTGTCAAACACTAAGTTTTTAATAATTTCTTTTTTTTTCTGTAACAGCTGTGAAGGACTGTGAAGATCTTGCTGTCCCTGGGGCAAGCGAGCTAATCAGAAAATGCAATTGCTTGTCAAGCCATGCACAGTTAAGATGAAAAAAATCTGCAATAAGATTAAGAGTGGTTTGATCTACCTGGGTGCCTCTGCATTGTCACTGATTAGGGAGCCATGATTTAGATGTCTGGCCAATAAGCAGAAAAGTTACCCACCTGTCTCTTAGCTTCTCTTAGTTTCCTCTTAAGAGCCGTTAAAATTCTTTGCACCTCCCAGAGTCTCTCTTCTTTGGATAAGTCTTTTATCCCTGCCTGCAAGTCTCTGTGTAAACAGTTCAGTAGGAACTCCTGGAAATATTGGCAAAGAAATTAGAGTCTTTAAGATATCTTAGCAGAACAGACTGAAAAGAAAAATATTTTTGGCTTCATAGCAACAGGCCTAGAGTTCTGGTTTTCAAAGCTTGACATGTTGACCAACAACATGTGTTAACATACATTCCAGGCATGATCTTGAACTAGTTGAAGAGCAATATTAAAGGGGCCACACTCTTAACATGTTCTCCTAACCTTCCTCACATGATAGGAGTATTGAACTCGTCATATACTAAAAGAGTGTGTTACAAGCTTATGAGAAAACAGAAAAACACTGAAGTAATTGCCAACCTGTCGCCTGATTTCTTCTTTGATGCTTTCTTGTGTTTCTGGAAGTGCTGGCATTGTTGCCATATTTGACCAACGAAGAGGTTTTGTCACCTGCTTTAGGGTCACATTCCCAAAGAACTCTTGAACATGTGTAAAAAATACATACAGGACACGGTTGCTGATCTGCAAAAAAACCAGCACAGCCTTTACTATGCCTTTCTGTGAGTCCTAGTTGTGTTTGTCCAAAGAGACTAAATTCTGGATTAAAAATGGCAATTAAACGACCCAGTGCTGGCCTCAAGGAACCACTTCACAGTCTCTCTCACCTGTGTATCCAAAGCATTTTCATACCAAACTCAGAATTTTCACAGGCCTTAACTCACCACAACTATTTCCATCACTGGTGGACACAGACATGTATTATATCTTTCTTTTTACTCATCTAAAGGTAGTGCCAGCAATAAGCAACTACCTTCCCTCTCCTCCCCCCAAACTGTAAATATTTTCTACAACTTCTCTGTCACATGATTTAATACAGTAGAAACAGTAGCTTGGAAGAACTTGCTACTGTAGTTCTTGTTTCAACAGGAGACAGAAGCAAGTATTTGGTTTTATATTTTATCTTCCATTAAAATTAAAAAATTTATCCTGAAAGAAAGATTGGAGTTCTGTGACCACCTGCATTTTAATTGCTGAAAATCTACTTCACAAAACATGATTTGGCCTTTATTGTTTTACATTAATTGTTACTTCTTTTGTTAGAATGTGTCTGGAACAGCTAAATAGAAGAGAACACCCAGCCCTTTTGCTACTGGGCCTCCACTGAGACTTCATTATAAAGCCAAGCAGTTCTAAAGTGTGGGTTTTCTTCTAGAAGTCCCACACCCAGTGATGCCATGTTTCCATTATGCACAGGACTAATTCTGAGCTGTATTTAAATTACATATTGCCAAGATGTTTATTAAGGAATTAATTAATCCAGAAACCACAACATCTTACTGGAAAACTAAGTCAGTTGTTTTTGCCCAGCCACTTGACTGCAGACACCAAAGCTATTATCCTCAAGTCATGACTGCACCAGGAACATCTCTTTGCAGGACAGTGTTCACTAGCTTGATATTAAAATTAAGCAACAATACAGCCTTCACTAAAATCTCTGAATCACAAGCCCAGAAAAACTGTGTATCTGCATGGATTACTAGGTGAATTAAATACTGACTTAACGGGTGATTTAAATTACTTCTCTTCACAACAGCATTAAAGCCCTGAGAGGAGTCTTTGTAATATTCTCATAATAATAACCCAAATATCAGACCCATAGTATGCAAGCTCACATTTAGAAAATATTTTGTTCTCCCTCTCGCAGCATTTTAGAGTTCCCAAGGTATACAGAGAAGCTGTACTTCAACTTAACTGTATCAGACAACACCCGAGTCCTGCCTGCAAGAGAATTCCTACAAAAAAGTCTTTCTTGGGCTGAAGCTCTGCTCCAAGACTTGCTGTGTGGTGCACATACCTGGACAGTAGGGCTGAGCACTATAGAAATATTCTGGATGTTCATCTTTGTTTCCAGTTCCTTTGCAATAACATGGTCCATATGCACAATCAGCCAAGAAATAAGGAGATGGTTACACTCTGGCAGCTCCTTCAGCAACCTCTGGCACTCCTGCACTTTCTCAGCTTCTGTGCTCTTTCCACAAGCATCTTCAAAGCGGGGCATGAGCTCTTTGGTAAGCAAATTTTCAGGCAGTTCTCGCAGGTACTGTTTCAGCAAGCTGGCTACTGTATTGGGCTCATATTCTTCCAGGTTGGGAGATTCTTCTCGATCATAGGCTGCTTTTAGCTCATCAACTTTCGATTTTATTCCTTAAAATATTCAGACCAAGAATTAAAGAGAAATCTTCAACTGTAAATCTATAATAGTTAAACTTTTCTTAGATTAATCTCTTTCATTTCTCCTTACAATTTATGCTAATTTGAGGAATACCTTTCAAAGGATCTCCACATGTAAGAAAGTTAAAATTATGACTCAAAAATTACATGACCACTGCTTCTAAGAGCACTGACTACTACTACAAAGCAAAAACGAAGCACTGCTGAAGTTCTGAATCAGACCTGGTGCCAGCATTCCCCTTCATCAAGGAACATGTAATAAGGTGAGGAAGGGTAGGGGAAATATAAGATCAATTGTGTATTTGCATTCTGAGCCTTTCAGGCTGTTCAATTATACAGCCCTAAGCCAAGCAGCAAGTATGTTACCAGCTGAAATATTGTGCAACAAGTTCTACCTATAACAGCTTTCCTCTGTCCAAACAAACCCCACATTTTTTAGTTTCCAGATTTCCAGCTGGCCCTCCTTGGTGGATAAATCTCACACAGGATTCTTGATCTGACATACTGCATGAATATTTAATTAATCAACTCAGCCAAGCTTTTCTGCATGGTGATTTTATAACTTGGTGACATTCCCATCTTCCCAAACTCAGGGAAATTTTGTTCTTCAAGCTCAAACATCTCTCAGTTACACTGACTTAACGCACTGCCATGGCTTTGCTCATGCACAGTAAGCAACCCTGGGTACACTCAGGCCATGGTTCATGCCATGCTCAGTTTCATGTCCAAGTTAGTAATCACAAGGGCTGGCAGGTTGTTAAACCAGTGCAATTGTCTCTCTGAGTGCTCTTAACAATCTTAACACACACAAGAGGGTGCTATTGCACTGCAGAACACCTAGAACTCACGCCAAGAATAGTTTATGGAAAACATACACCTGTTTTTGTGAAAATTCCCAACACATCATGTCTTGCAAAAAAACACGCAACCAGAATGTTTCAATAGGCAAGACAAAGAAACTGCTTAAGCTGCTGCAGGATTTACACATGCCTACCAAATACCATTCAGACTGACAGCATGAAGACAGCTTCAGTGAAACCTTTGAAACAGTTTGATTACTGTTTACTTGTTTCAGACGTTTTTCCTCAAATTCCTCCTCTCACTTGCTCTTGTTGCCTTAAACATACCCACAGAAGTAATTACACAAATTATACTGCAGGTGCAGTTCACAAATAAAGGGGCTACAACTGATGCTTCACTTATATAAGCTGATGTTACATAACTACCGTGGTTAATTAGCCTGCTGTTGCTAAGCTTAAGTAGTGAAACTCCTGTTTTCTGCTTATTAATGTATTTGCTCAAAGAACAGAAATTTTAAAGAAAAAGAAACCAAACATGCAATGGAAATAACTGGAAGAAGCTTAAGTAACAAAATGGTTACATCTCATCTTTGCTTTTGCCATCAGGCAGCACCATATTTCTCATGCAGAAGTAAAAAAATACAGGCTGGCCGTACTAACACATTTAATTCATCACAACCATCCTGTCACAGAAGAGTACCTGAAACTCTGTAGATGCCTTCACATTTCATGCCATACTTCTCTACATAATCTATACATTCACGGAAAACTGCTGGCAGGCGGATGCCATCATACATCATGGTCCTATCTACTGCATCAGACAAAGGAATACCAAACACGGGTCTATGACTTGGAACATCCACTTGAGGTATCTCTGTCTCCTGAATTGGCTTTTTCTTTTTCTTCTTCTCTTTCCACTGTTTCACAACATCTGCTGCAGTTAAGTCTTTTGACTTCTTCTCCTTATGTTTATCTTCCTTATGTTTCTCTTCCTTGTGTTTTTCATCTTTGGGTTTCTCTTTTATTTTAAAATCCTTTTCCTTTTTTTTGGAAAAGCTGGGTTTCTTGAAGACATGTATTCCCTTGGACCTCTTCAACTTGGAAGGACTTTCAGCTTCATCACCAGAACTGTCCTCTTGAAACGCAGCGTAACCTTCCGCTGTTGGGCAAAGGGGGAGAGGGCAAGAGGACAGTTGTGAGTCTGTTCGGTTTCTAGATACTACCACAGGGAGAGAGCAAGAAGTAATATGTAAGGAGGAGAGAGAAGAACCAACAAGAATTAAAACAAGAGTGCCTGCCTGACTCTTCAAAAGGTTTTCTTTAGTTGTTATGCAATTAAGTGGACAAGGATTAGATAGATCAAGGTTGCATAATCACATCAAAGATAAGCCACACAGCTCCTGAACAATCTAAACAGTTAATACTTTATATACTTACTCATAATGGCAATGTCCATCTTATGGGCTAGTTTCCCATCTAATAGTCAAGGAAATGAAAATAAAAACAACTGTCTGGCAACTTCTCTATGTTCCTGTAATCAACAGTATAAGAGTTGCTGTTAAGGATCATCTACTACAAACACGTAAGTATTCTTCTATTAAAAATTTCTATTAAGAACAAACCAAACTTCAGCCACTTAACTCCCCCAACACTTTCCAGAATATTATGAATGTTAAGATAAGTATGAAATTAATAAAGTTGCAGTCTCAAATAAAATACCAAAAAAGTAAAAAACAAACAAACCAACCAACCCAGCTGAAGCACACTTACTTTTCCCACAAGACAAATAAAACTACTCCAGTAACAGTAGTACCATACCTCAATACCTGTCAGTGAAGTTGTGTATTTGCCTTAAAAAGTCTATGTGAGAGCTTCAAACAAGTCCCTGGGTGGAGTGCACTGTTTCAGCAGCAAAACACTGAGTGCTGTCTAAAATGTGCACCCGAGCTATTACTACCTACGCCTCTGCAGTCAGCCCTGCCTATCCTTCAGGCAAGATCAAGCAAATTTTTAAAGCTGGATTGCAGAAAAAAACAGCCAACCAACTAAAAAAATACAACAACCCACAACCAAACCCAAAAACATACAAACCAACACAACTTCCAAGTCAATTAACTGTCATTTTATATGCGCAGTACCCCATACAAGAAAAGGAAGCCTGAAATCTGGCCAAGAAAGACATTTCACATGCCATTTGCACCAGCTGGGTCCCTCCAGGCAGTGGGCAGGAAGCTCCTGCTTCAATGTGAAGCCCCTATTAATCAGATCCCTCGAGGCTCTTCCACTGCCCACAGGCAATGCCTCTGCCCAAGTGAGGAAGCACAGACTGCCAAGTGCTCTTCCTGAATGAACAGTTTTGGGCGGTGGGAAATCACCTCCTTAGATTATGAGAGAGCAGCAGAGACGAGATTATAGGCTGCAATTTTTACAGGTGAAGTATCGTGTGCAAAAGAACCAGGGGACATAATGTCTTCTGTTCTTCCAGTGCTAAACTATCTTAAGCTTCAGAGTTTCTCAGCATTATTTTTCAGCACATGTAAGGAGTTGTCTATGTTTTGAAGCCTCCTTGGCTGCTCTGTAGAAGCTTTCAATAGTCAAATAAATCTAAGAAATTTATTAAAGCTGTAAAATAATTACAATTGTTTGACCCCTCCTGGAGTCTTCTCTAGGACTACCAAACATGCACTGTCATAAAAGATGGAGTAAGACTGTAGCACTGCTCCTGTCCAAGTGAATTTTAATATAAAAATGCAAGTGTTAACTGAAGGACAACCAGCAACCAGGTCTTGTGCTTCCAGTACAATGGCTATAGCATCACTAGCTCTTTTTGTAAACTGAACCCAGAGAGGGGTAAGGAAACCTTCAGTGCATGAACTAAGGATTCAAATCTCACTCTGATATGGAAAGAGCTGCCAATGCATCAGCTATGGGGCAAAGAAGCAGCCCACCTCACCCTTAACAGGATGGGGCTGGCACTCAAGATAAGGTTCACAGGTGTAACTTCCAAGCAGAAAGCCAAATCTTCACCAGATCCCAGAACAATCCACCCTCAACCTTTCCTGCTGGGCAGCTGCAACAGCTCCCAGCCGACTGACGTAGGTTTCCCACACTCAGACTAGGAACAGCGTCAGCGCGTCCCCTGGGCCAGCACCGGGGACTCAAGCTTGGAGGCTGCCAACGCAGAGAGCACCTGCCTTCATGTTTCAACACCCCATGTCGCAACACAAACCCTGGCGCTTTTCTACATCTGGGGTAATGTAACACCAGCAACAGCACATTACTGAAACTGGTATTTCTTGACTTCATGAGAAGACATGAAGGAGCAAGTTAAATATAAAACCAGCCTATTTTAATTTGTCTCAGTAACATAAGTCAACAAAGTTTTGGAATATATACTAATTACAGATTCACAGAGAATCTCCCACCCATACCAAGAGGGGTTTTCTGTATGTCTCTTAGAGTAGTCAAATTTTCTTTACCATACTTCTGGTAATAAAATCACTGTATTCCTTTCACTAGTGATACAATATATTGAAAACTAAACAACCTAAATTTGTACAGAGGAAAATTATTGACAGCCCTTGACAAATCATGTAATTTTAAATGTGGAGAGAAATATTATCTACTGTTAGTAAAATGCTGTTTCTGTTCCCTGTCTCAAGACTTCAAGTATCACTAGTCTGCATTTTCCCATCACTAACATATGCCATTTCCCTGCACCTATAGGAGACCTACTGAAGGAAAAACAAAAAAATCAGTAAAAGGAAAAGTGTCTTCATCCTGGCTCAAACCTGGGCAGTACTAATTTAATAAATACTCCAATTCTGCCAGCATAATGACTGCACTACCTGCCAGTTCCTTGCTCAGCAGACCTTCCCCAAGCATGCATTATTGAATGCCTTTGTTGCAGTTACTTTAAATGTAATGTTGCAAATATAGTTCTTATCTTACTGAAAATTATCAGAACTCCTTTCAAAAATCAAAATAAAAATCCAGTGTTACACCGGAAAGAGCTAACTTAGAGGTTTAAAAGCTTTGTCATGCAATAAGGCCACTGTTTCTATCAGCCCACATACTTGGGAATACTTCTCATTTTCTTCTGACAAAGAAGCTATAAATTCAAGCTATAGCATTTATTGTTATCACAACAGGCTGCATTATGTAGAACTGCAAACTTATCAAACCTACCTACCACAACACATTTTGTGAACCAGGTCCCTGATGAGTTTTAAAGTCATTTATACCTCTACATCTGATTTTTGCTCCCTGAGGAAATTTGCATGCATCTGTAATCAGTTCACTAAAAGAAAACATGGATCACTTTTACATATGGAACAATCACTAAGTCAAATACAGACTGATGTGCAATGCGTAATGTGTAATTAGTTACCTTCAAAATCCCTTAAGATGAGAGAACAAACTGGAATCTTCCACCTGATAGTACCTAGCAGAAAGTTGCAGATCACTAGAACACTATGCAAGGGAAGCAACTCAGGGAGAGAAGACAACTGGGGCCCAAAGATTATTTGGAGTAGGTCCCCAAATTAATACTAGGAATATTTCAGCTCTCACCTACATCACAAAAAACACATGCCTGCCCAACACATTACAGATTCAGTGTTTGAAATTTTCAAATATTCATTAAAAAATTAAAAAGAATTCATACCAATGATAATATTGTCCTTCCACAGGATAGTTTAGTTTACAACTCAACCAATCCCACATTTTCTCAAGAATTATATGAAGAAAATTAAAATCTTTATACACATAAAATGCTACCTATATACTGAACCCATCCTGTCTAATGGTATCAATCTCAGATGTAAAACGAATCAGCAGAGCAAAATCTACTACATACAGACTATCTGAAGAGATTCTGACGGGTAGAATAGCTTTTTCTTTGTAAGCATTTCTTATAACCTTTTTATTTTGCAGGGAACTGCATATTTTATGACTTTATCAACACGTGATTAATGACAGGTAGTTCAACATTCATTTTTAAAAATCAGTTACACCGGTCACTGTCTCATATAAACCATCACTGTTTAAAAATAATCTATTTTTGCTTCCAGAGTACAAATTCTTGCATGGACAAGGGCTGTTCTGAGAAAAGAAACAGATCCAAGTTAAAACTATCCAAGTAGAAAGAAAATTTATTTTAATCCCTAATAAATCTCCTAATCTACCCAGAGCTAACTAACAATTAAGTCTATCACAAAGGAGTGGAGACTAGAAAGCAGTGGCTCAAACATTATTCCAGCAGCTGACAGTCAACAGAAAAAACATTTAATTTTCTATAATTTCCTAATAATTTGTAGGATTTTTTTTTCCCCTGGACATTTGCGGTGTATTATTAGATTATTGCCACTAACATGAAAATTAAACCATTGTATTAACTACATAGGAAAAAAGATCCCTTGCTAGGACACAAAAATGCTTTTTTTGATATAAGTAATAATACTGAAGCCACAACCACATTGCTCCCACAAACAGGATTTACCTGAAAAACAGAGTAACTTAAGACATTCTAACTTCCCCCTCTACATACCCTCCTCCAATCTAAGTCCTATCAAAACACCTTGAAATCTTTGTAGGAATTAAGTTACACACAGTTTCAAGAGTTGGGATTACTTTGCAATCAATTCACTAATATTCTAAGTTCAACAAACATTCACTCTGTCAGAATTTAATGTCAACACTTGTCATCTTCTCATTGAAAAGTTCAACCATATTTTTCTGAACCCTACACTATATGACCAGAGCAAGGCCCATTTTATCCAGTATCAAGGCAGGTAGCCTGAAGAGTGAAAAGAAAAACAATCTGATTATATGCACCAGAATGGAAGAAATTGAAGATTGAAGAGAACGGAAGGAGGAACCTCCAAAAGCATGGAAAGCAGAGCTGGAAGAGGAACTCTTAAAATCAACCATGTTAAGCAACTGTAAAGAAACCCTGCCATTTACTTAAGTAACATGTCTGTTCAAGGTATATTTACAATAATTACCATTTTTAGATTGTACAAGATGCACTAAAAGCTTTGTATGTAACTTACTCTTACATCTGCCTGGCAATTATATAACTACATTAGGGCTACACTGTAATTGCAAGAGATAATTTGATTCTTCCTACATTTTGCTTTTTCGTATTTTTGAGTATTTTTCATAGCTTTAAAACTTTTTTTTAAGTAACAAAAAATTGCTTTACATCAGCTATAAAATGTGTTGTAACATCTTACAGAAGAAAGCAGTTACGGTGCAAATGTGCACAGACCTGCATGTATTTGCTGAAGAAGCAGTTTTCCTCTTCAGTTAGACTATCATCATGAGACATGCTGAATTACACCACAATGAAACCCATGCCATCTATTATGCTGACCTCTAACAATTCCAAATTTAGACGTGTTGAATGCAGAGTTATAACTGAAAGCTGATTCACAAAGAATAAAACACCAACTACTAACAGGCTGAATTTGGACCTATGCAATCAATACTGAATTTTCATCATCAATCCAATACTCTGTATTACGTTAATGTTGTTTACATTTGAGAAAACCCTAAGGAATCACTCTTCTTAGAATCTGTAGGAATTTAAGCAGTTGGTTTTACCTTGAGTATCTTATGTTTTTGAGTTACAGAATTCTTTAGGCACACAGCCTTTTGTTAAAATAACAATAGTCCTTCTAAACTGGGACAGAAATAATTCCTGCATTCAAAGAAACTGGTCTAATTAAAAGCAGTGCAGTGGCAGCAAATTCTTAAAAGAGTAATTATTTAAATGTGTGCATGCATTTGTGCAAACAAATAGTCACCATATTCATTCTAACAAAATACTGGGTGCTGTCTCATTGGTTTTGATCTTCCAAATTTCACTTGTAGGTAGTAGCAAGGTTCACTGGCATCCAGAACTTCCAGGCATCAGATCTACTGGCACTGTAGAATAGGAACACTATTTTGAAATTTTGCTAAAACAAATGTCAGTTAAAAAAATACTAGAATTTGGGCTGTGATATTTAGGTTTCAGAGTCCTGGTCAGTAAGCATGTTTCTGGTACTGAGAGTCCTCAGTATCAGCTTAGTATTTTCAAGTGCTCTAAGAACTATTTCATGTTTCCAACATTTTCTGCATAAATCTAAACACAGGAACTAAGAATTCTCTTATGTTGTTTTGGAGGAGGGGTATGATTTTTAAATGAAAACTTCAATTCTGGACACTGATACACTAAGAAGAATAGATTAAAAAGAACTTTCTTACAACCTTTATTCTGTCAGTTCTAGTAAATTCAGATCTCAGTGCTGGCTTACACATTTTTTAACTCTGCAATAATACTTTGGCGCTGCTGGAGGAAACTGCATGATGAGACTGAACTGAGAAGCTAGAGAAAAATAGGACACAGATTTTATTACTCCTCAAATGACGGTGCAGTGTGCACACAAACTTGAGATGGGACACAGCAGCTAGACAATACTGAAGACAGATGGGAAATAGGTTGAAGTTGTTGACACTGACTCTTCAAATTAAAAAGAATAAAATTCAGGTCAAACTTAAACGAGTTTTCTTTTAGCTAGCACTTCAACTACAATTTCAAAACGCATCTAAAATACACTTGGAAACCTCCGCCTAGAATGTGAACAGATACTAAGATTAGAGGAAACCCCACACCAGGCAATTACCAATGCACTGTTAAATGTTTTGGATAAATAAGTTTACTAGCAATTCTGGGCACATGCTTGGCACCTGTATCTGTGCAAAAAAAAAACCACCTTAACAACAATCCATTTTCTGGTTAAGGTGTGGGGCTTTTTGGAAGAGAAAGAAGTATTGCACAAAGCCTGTTTGTACCAGTTAACTTCCTTTGCACCTAATCAAGTAAAAAAAACACTGGGAATACTAATCAATTTTGAGAGAGAAAGTAGGAGAGAAAAAGACATTATAAGCATGAAATAAGAGAAGCTGCCTACTCACTTCTTTTTTCTTTCTTCTTGAATTTTCCTTTCTTCTTCCCGTGCTCCTTTTCATCATCAGATACTATGTCTGGAGGCTCGTGCAAGCTGTCATGAGGAGGTGAAGGCTCACCGGTGCGGTACAATCCAGGGAATTTTGTAGGACTGATTTCTTCAGAGCTGGGAGTACGAGCAAGACCCCCACTGTGTTCTACCCGACGGTGTTCACTGGGGCTGCTAGTGGGAGGCAGGAAGCACTCGGTCATTCTGATTCCCTGATATCAAAGTGAAATCTTCTGCTACCTGTCCATCACACCTGCAGCAGGGAAAAGAAAAAGAAATCCCACACAAACTTAAGCAATGGGTTTCAGAACACCTTGTTTGGAGCTCTCTCATGAAAACACAAACAGCAATACCTTCTACAATGAATGTTCCAATTTACATCAAGACACAGTAATATATCAGGTCCTAAGTTCACTGTTCGCAGAATCTGTCCATTAACTCATAAGCCGTATTAACATAATGACAGCTGCTATTTTAGCCACACCTGCTTTCTAATATATGTAACATTATATATTACGTATCTGAATAATTTAACTTTTGAAATAATTCTTAGAAATTTCATAGGGAGCTTCCATACTGATTTGTAATACTTACTATAAAATAGTTAGCTAACATTAAAGTTTTGACAGAAAATATAAATTTGTCTAGAAGCTCAGAGTGTTTCTGAGGACTGTACCTAAGGCAAAGATAATTTTCATCCTTCCCAAGCATATTTTATAGAGGCAAATAAGAACTTGCCTAGCCTGTTGAAGTAAGGGGAAAAAAACCAACAACCCAGAGCTAAAGCAAATCCATCTTCTAATTATATTAATGCAAATTAAAGAAGGTAGAAAAAAAAAGATAAAGTTTTTCTGGAGTACAACAATAACTTCACATTTATAGAGTCTATATCAGGTCATCAGCATCCAGGTGCTGGTATGTTTTTTGCTTGACAGCTATAGCCAAACAAAAGCTAATATGAAAACTGCTGAAGGAAGACAATACATAAATTCTCAGCAGTGGAACTTGTAAGCAGAAACCTCTTCCTAGCACAGACAGATTTCAGAAATTTCACAGAACAGATACACTCTATGGGACATTATACCTCTGGAGTCCACTTCGCTGAATATTGCCCTTTGAGTCTAAATGGTCACCCTCAGATATGAGCCCTTCTTTCAGTGGAAGAAAGGAAAAGAGAAATGGAGCAAACCCTAGAAAAACAAAAAACTATTTTCCACACCCACTGGCATACTTGGATGACAGGTCAAGTCACGGTTACATGCTAACTTTAATCCAACGTTAACCTGTGCTGCTGTTGCTGCTGAAAGGAAACATCTATTTGAAGACAAACAAAAGAAATAAACATTTTTTTAAAGCTACATCAGTTCCACAGCCTGGGTCTCTATGCAGGGCAAGCAGGGCAAGCACAAGGAAGGGTGAGAGTTGGGGGAAGGTGCTCTACACTGCAGACTTTAAGTGATTAAGGTGACTCTGTAGCAATGGCCTCAAAAAACCCCAGAATTAAAACATGCTATAAGATTACACAAAAAGGCCATATTATAACTTTTTCCACTAATATTTTAGCTATCATGAGAGTATATCCAGATATAATAGCTGTGGCTTCTGCACAGTATTTTATAAGATTTCATTCAGGGAAATAAACGATATATACTTGCTAAGCAGGAATTCCCGATATAGGGATCAGCACTGGGCCCAGTCCTATTCAGTATCTTTACCGACAACCTGGATGAGGGGATCAAGTCTACCCTTAGTAAATTCACATATGATGCCACGTTGGGGTGGAGTTGTCAATCTGCTGGAGGGCAGAAAGATGCTGCAGAGGGATCTGGACAGACTGGATCGACTGACTGATGGTATGAGGTTCAACAAGACGAAGTGCCAGGTCCTACACTTTGGCCACAACAACCCCAGGCAGCGCTTCAGTCTAGGGGAAGAGTGGCTGGAGAGCGGCCCAGCAGAGAGAGACCTGGGAGTACTGGTTGACAACTGGTTGAACAAGAGCCAGCAATGTGCCCAGGTGGCTCAGAAGGCCAATGGCATCCTGGCTTGTATCAGAAATAGTGTGGAGTAGGGATGTGATTCTTCCCCTCTACACAGCACTGGTGAGGCCTCACCTCAAGTACTGTGAACAGTTCTGGGCCCCTCACTTCAAGAAGGATATTGAGGTGCTGGAGTAGGTCCAGAAGAGAGTAACAAGACCAGTGAAAGGACTAGAGGGAAAGTCTTATAGGGATAGGCTGAGAGAGTTGGGTTGTTTAGCGTGGAGGAGACTCAGGGGGGACCTTATCACTCTCTACAACTACCACTACCTGAAGGGAGGTTGTAGTCAGATGGGGGTTGGGCTCTTCTCCCAGGCAACGAGCAACAGGACATGGCCTGAAGCTGGATGTGGTTGTGCCAGGTGATAGGTTGGACTTGATTTTTCAGCCTCAATAATTCTGTGATTCTGTGATCATATGAACCAGACTTAACTTCATCTGCAAAAGCAGACAGCCTCTTTTAAAGAGAACAGCAAAAGCTGAAAATGAATGGCAAAGCCATTTTCTTTTTCTTTTTTTTTTTGTCATACCTGTTGTGTTTTGTTCTATTTTTTACATTTATACCAAACACTCCACTGCTGTGCTAATTTGATACTCTGTTTAAACAAGTAAATGGCAAGCAAGACATTTTAGGAGATATGTACAGGTATCTAAAGCTTCAGACTTGAGATACCAAAAAAAGTCAAAGTTTTCAATTATACAGATATTCTCAATATTTAATGACACAGACTGACAATACTATTGCATCTCATCCAAGTATCAGAATGATCATTAAAATTCCTGCAGAGCACCTGTTTGTATTTCATTCACCAAACACTCCCCTCCACCCAAAACCAGAACCTGAAACACTCCACCAAAAGCTGCTCAACAATAGATAGTATTTCAACAGTAAGTAATGGAATAAAAATGGAAATATTATATATATATATATATATATATTTATTTTAAGCAGACAGGATAGGCCACATCTACAAAGCAGTCCATGTCTAGAGTGGGAAAGATGGACATGTGCACAGAGGGAAAGAACAATGTCATTTCAAAGGCACATGAACACCACTCTTGAAAATGAGGATGCACATGCTTTGCCTCTGGAACCCAGCAAAGCTCCCAGGATGAAGCCAGATTTTTCCCATACATTCCCAGTGTTACAGTGTTACTCAGCTCCTGGGGTCTTATTTACAGATTGGCAGTATACAGAAAAAGATGTAATATGGAATTGTTTTTTGCCAGGTTAGTAATTATAAATCTGTCCAGCTAAGTGGACTTTGGAGAGGGTTAGAATTTTTTATTTATTTATTTATTTTTAACTCAACCTTCAGTTGTCTGTGTGCAGAACACAAGAGAAAATTTAATATATGTATGAAACAAAGCATCTCACTACAGGACATCACTCACAAGAGTGCTTATGGAAATTAACAGCTACTCACATCAGAATTTGAATATTGCACAGTAAGACAATTATGAGGAGAAACAAAATGTTCATGAGTTCTTTTAATACTGTTCATTCTTTATTCTGGCTAAAGCGGAGACACTGACTGAAAATAAAGACAATGGTGCATATTTGTACCTCAAACAAATTGAGACTGCACTTGTATTTAATATTTTTTGTTTTACAGCTTTGAGAAAGCATTACTTTCCTATATACTCAATTTCTTAGGCCTTTAAATAAGGGAGAAATTCCTCTGTCCTCAAATTATATTGAGACTTATCAGCAGAATTACAGCCTTTAGGCTCTACCACAAAAAGCTCTTCCACCTTTACTAATGGATGCTGATGTATTATTGCCCTATATATCTGCACCCTTCCTTTGGCTTTTACAAACTTTTGCTGACAGCAATAAATGGTGAGACTGAAAAAAATAATGAATCCTCTCAGTGTTTTGAGAAGAAACATTTCTAACAGACCAATTCTTCTGCCAACTTCTCCCTCTCAAACTGGACCCTTTCTTCCCAATCTGTTGCTGCTTCAGTTCTGCCTCTCCTCTGCATCAGGCTCCTTGCTTCAAAATCCTCTTCACCTATGCAGTTCTCAGGAGTTTTAACAGCTCTCTGCTGCTATGCGGGGAAGGTCAAACTACTCTCTCCGCTAACACACACCTCCAATTCCAGTAGTTTGCTCACCCAAGACCCCTTTGTGACATGATTCCATTTGCTAGCTGCTCCAACCAGCTTCTGATGCTGAGCTGGCTGGTGGAAGAGCTCAACAAGCACTAAAGATGAAAAGCGGAGGAGTGACAGAACCATGATGAAAGGAGTGCAACCTGCCTCTCTGTTTTGTGATACTGCATGCACAGCTTCATCTCCCCAGATTTCACTTCATTCTTAGCATTTCCCCTGCAACTTCAAGTTTTGATTTCTTTGCCACCTAGTGCCAGTACTCCCACAGTTTAGTCCTGACTGACTGCTCTCTTTCACCCTCAGTGTATCACACAAACATGTTTCTTCATCTGCTTTGGTCTCTGTGAGCCAAGCTCATTCTCCCACTTTTCTCTCCCCTGGTTCTTTATTCAGCTGGTTCAGATTCTCCTGCTGCACACCACTTCTTTGCAGATAAAGTTCACCCTCTTCTTCCTCTGTCTGGTCAGTTATCGGTTCCCATTTCTACCTGGCTGATCTTCTCTATTACTGTCTTTTGTTTACTCATGATTATCTACCTTATCTTCTCACCTTGTCCACATTTCTCCCATTGGCTCTCAGTCTCTTACTAGTATTACTAGTAGTAATTTTCTTCCTTACTTCCCTACCAACAGCAGGCTCTTTTACCCCCACCAGTTCTCATTCACTTGACAGTTTCACTTTAACAGTTTCCTGAACATAGTCAAACATGGAGTCAAACCTTCAGAATAACTGAGTGTCACAACCAGCCTTCACTCAATATGTGTGGAATTGTGACCTTTGCTCTGTTCTCCAAGGAATATCTACATTAAGAGACTTTAAGCATGGAAAGCAAAAGGTTGTCCTTAACACAAAAACTCCCAGCCATCACATCACCACTATCTTTCAAGACCAACGTACACCAAGTACAGGAATGTGGGCTGGGGAGAGGAAGCAAGATACCTGCATAGTCAAATTATGTGTTTTTCCTAGCCTCATTTTTGAAAATAAGTGAACTCTTCCCTAAAAAATTCAACCTGAGCTATGTATCTAGTAAATAAAAATTAATATTAAACACCTGAGGTTTTAAAAAAAATAATACCAAAACCAACAAGACAGAAAAGTGAAG